GTTTGCAGGGGGAGAGGAAGGAAGAAAAATCATGTCCAGAGGTCATGGTGTAAAAACATTTGTCTCTCCCTGCTGACTTGCAAAGGAGGAGATACCTCAAAACAGTGTGGAGGGACTGGTGAGCTGTTGGTATATCCCTGCATTAAAAATGGACCATAAAGGTGGTTAGGGTGGTTGACACTGATGTAGGCTGATAGTTCTGCTAGTTCTTAGCAGATTTCCTGTTGACACAGTGTAGGTCTCAATATTTAATGGTAACTTGCACTGTCAGCCAGCTGGTGTAAGTTGAGCATGCTTTGGGGACTAGTCCTGGTAAAATTAGGAGCAGTTTGTTCTTGGCCAAGTGCTGCCTCAAATTCACCTGTTCTGTACAAATGGAATGTTCCTCCTTCAACTCCAGATGGAGTAGGGGTGGGAGAGGGCTTGCAGGTTTGAAGCTTCGTTTCATTATTTACCAGACTGGTCTAGTAGTTGCAGCACAAAAGTGGGTGAGGAAACTTGATTTTTCAGTATCTACTTAGTATGAACCTTAGTGAGACATGTCCCCTTTAGTGTCTGTGTCCTCCCCTGCAAAGGCCATAGTGGATGAAAAGTGCTGTCACAGGAGGGTCAGGAAGCAGAAGGGGAAGGCGCCTGACCTTTCAGGGCAAGAGGAATAGAATTTATTTTGTGTGGAACAACAGAAGAAACTGGTCAGTGAGTCCAACCTCACCACTGAAATGTCACTGACATTTAAGCTTGACCCAGTGCAAGCCTCTGGTGCAGCAGTTGCCAGCTGTGTCTCACTAAGTAGTATTTCAGTGGCTGCCACCATGCAGCAGTCTTCAACTATAAAGGTACAGATTGGTCAGTCAAAGCTTCTTTTTATGTCCTCTCTGAGCCTGTCAGTCTGCAGAGGTAGACATGCATGTGCAGAGGTATCCAGCACTGCACGCAGACCACATGTTACCTTTGTGACTGTAATTAACCATAATAGAACTTGAAAAAGAGAAGTTATGTGTGCAGGTGACCAGGGTGTCCTTTAGCAACAGGGCCATTTGAGCACTACTGTCCTCCCCAGTGGACTGGGGCTGATGTTTCTTCAAGCAAGCCAGGACTTGCTCTCAAGAGCAGCATTTTCTTGCTGGTTCTGTAGCAATCATATGGCTATTATAGACTCTGTGGGAACCCTGGTCACCCTGAGAAGCCTCCGTAAGCCCAGCTGACACCTATAGCCAAGGAGGCTGAGGGCTGTGGTGTGTTCCACAGCATGGCTGTCAGTGCTGATGGAGGGAAGTGCTTGTCCTGGCTTCACAGGTATCTTTCTGTTAAGAAGAGGGAAAGTAATTTTACACCATCCTGGTAGCAACTATGTGGGGATCTTGAAAAGGGAAGAGGGAGACCAGTTGTCAGTGTCCTAGCTCTGAGCATCTCTGACCCCTGGGAGCCAGACCACTGTTGGATGCAGGAGGAGGCAGGCTGTTACTAATGGCTGCTTGTGTGCTGCCACTACATTGTTTATTGTAAAAACAGACTAAAGATAATGAGGCATCTTATTGGCATCTCTTTTAGTATGGTCTCAGTAGAGTTTCTTGTCCAGAAGTCATACAGTATATGCATGAAAATAATGGGTGGGAAACAATATCCCAAATGGCACTGTTACCAGAAGTGCCTGGGAGATTCTGATGCTCAGTTTTCATGTCTTTCAGATAGAGTTGCTGTTTGGTTGGATGTCAACCATTATATCTGTGAAGATTTGTCCTAGGTGGTTTTCTCTGCTGGATCAAGTGGTATTTGTTTTAATGCACTGCTTTTATAAATGTTGAGGTACAGTAGTTCCCTAGACTCTCACCTCTAAGTTAGCCTGCAGTGCCTATTGCTGAAGATCAGGAGTCTAATTTTGGCTATTAATGACGTAGCATGGGAAAAATTGTGTGTGGGGATTGTCTCCCACTGGAGTTCAGGTCTTATCCTACCTGGCTTGTAATAAGCATCATGTAGACATCTGATTAGAAAACATGAGATTTTCCAGGAAGGGAAAAAGATTTCTCTTTACATTCTGGTTTCCCTCTCCCAAGGGCAAAGAAATACAAGAAGCAGAAATACAAAAAACTTTCAGTTTTGTCTTGTCTCACAGCTTACCTAGATGCATGTCTAGGCAGCCTTTCTGGAGTGGAAAAGGAGGGGTGTGAATGGTGAAGATCAAGCCTGAGAAACCTCAGCTTGTGTCTCAGAAGCTCTCGGGTGTAATATTGCTCTGTCCACATGCTTCTGTGGGATGTGGTACATCTCACTCAGTTTTTCTGTGCTTCAATTGCCTTTCTAAATAATGTTCTGCATTTAATAGCAGGCCTTTCTTGTATTCTCATCTAGTTTCTCTAAATAATCGAGCTTTTTATATCTTTAATTGACACTCACTGCCAGTGGATGCCTACCTTTGAGAACAAATGTATGTCAGAACAAAAAAATAACTAGGTATGAGCTTAATCTTAGTAGCTCTGCTTTTCTTAAACCAATATCCTTTTGCAGCAGTTAAATGGCAAGATTTTTGTCTGGCTCTGCACTGGCACAGTTTCCAGTTCAGTTATTGTTAGGGTAGCAGCTCTGTGGTATACTGTGAGTATGGGATGCATGTACTTCCCACTAGCTCAAAAATACAAGGACAAAAGCTCAGCTCATTGCTGGAAAGATTTATTGGGAGTTTTCTTTCAGTCAGGGGATGAAAAGAACTATAAAAAGCCAAGAATGGCCCTTAGGCACATGGAATTTAATTCCATAACTGGCACATATCAAGGAGAAAAGCCTGTAATTCTTTGCAGATTATCCTCTGAAGCTGGAGGAAAAAACCTCTTGGTCCTGGAATGCATAGGCAAAAGTGAGGCAGTGCTTACAAACTGTCCCAGTTTAAAAGTGGATTATACTGGAACCTCTGTTCTGTCCTATATTTTGAATATGTCTTAATACTTGGGTCTTTACTGTTTTCCAGTTCCAGCTGCTGATTGAAGTTGCCTGGCCTCTGTTCATCTTCTTCATCCTGATTTCTGTAAGACTTTCATATCCGCCCTACGAGCAGCATGAATGTAAGTACTAAGCACATCAGCTGCACCCAGAATGGTGGTTGTTTTGTGGTTAGAAGGTAATAATGCAGCTGGCATGATGCAGGGAGCAGGGGCAGTAGTTGCATACCTCAGTCAGAAATCTTTGGGGAAGCTTTAATGGCTACTTCCCTTCCAGCCTGGAACTGCAGTGTGTCCTGGCACGTTAAATGTTGCTCTAGGATTGTACACTGCTGCTGCTTTTCTTGCTGTTTTCTCAGTTTTTGCATTTATAATGTATTAGCTGAGGGTTTGCTCTACGAAGTATGACAAATCTGGAGAACCCACACAAACCAAGTCTGATTTCTCATCCATGATGCATATGTGACTTTTCATAAAAAAAGAAAACATTGTTTAGGTCCATATGAAAGCAGTCTCATTTTCAGGCAGTAATGTGGGTTAATGTATCACATTAAAGAGGACAAAAGCAATTCCATTCCTTTTAATCATAGACTGTCAGCTCTGTATTCAGTAGGTTCATCAGTCATGCATTTGTTTTGTTTCACTCTTTACATCCTAAATGGGCACACTTCTGCTTTTCTTTCAAAGGAAGCTTATTCTTGCTCAGCAGATGACAATCTTTAGGCCTCTGTGTTGGTTGCCATTTGTTTTAGGTAGCATGACTTGCTTGTTATCAACATGCTTCATCTTGCAGTGATTAGTGACAGCCTTATATTGCAATTAGCTGACTGGAAAGAGCTCTGTTTATCTTTCTTTTGCCTGATTACTGCAAGGTAAAAGGTTAAGGGTCAGAACAATGAATCTGGATGGCACTGAAGTGTCTCATTCTTAAAATAGGTAAAGAACTAGCTCTTAAGCACTTAGCTATGGCTCTTTGCAGTGTCTGGGGCACTTGGTGCTGGTTGCTGGTGTTTCAAGACAGCAAGGATCTTTTTGAAGCTGAAGTGTTAATGTTAGCAAGTTCCCATTACATTTCAGAGGGCCAAGCTCATTTTCTACTATGCTAATTGAAGCTTCCTTAAGCTAGATCTTGTCTTCTGCTACATGACATTTGATCTGCCTTTTCTGATTGTTAGGGTGGCATTAAGAGAGATACCTGGACATGAAGCTGAATAGAAGCACTGGGCAGTATACTCAGCTAGTGTAAATAACTGACTACCTCAATAATAATTTGTCCCAACTGTGGTAGTGCTGAGTATAAACTCAAACTTAGCAACAGCTGCCTCTTCACAGAGCTGCTTAGATTGGCCTTGTTAGTCATTAGCCTCCTTGTCTGTCCTTTGCCATGGCACCCTGGTGTCATAAGCAGAGTTTTGAGTCTTTCACCTGCAGCCCCTTTTTAATTTCTGTTGACTGGTGGTGTTTTCTGTGCCTTCTCTCTGTGTTGTCATCAGGAATTGTAGAGTGTAGAGCACGTGGTAACTCTTTAATGTACTTTTTGTGGTTAATTCCTCTGTTTTTCTAAAAGCTTCTGAGAACAAGTAACTAAATTATTTAAGTCTGGATTGATTTTGTTGAACATTCACTCGTGCTGACAGATGTGGATGCATTGTATACTGGAACATGTTTTGCTGAACTGTGGACAGAGATAGAAAGAATCCTTGAGTTCATAGTGAACTCTGTGGCAACCCTGTGGATGCCTTGAGGGAAACAGGATTGTTATCTGTAGTGGCAGTGCTGTGTGCTGTTATAAAATGACTTGCAGGTAATGCCTGATGATAGCAGTAACAGAGCTGTGTGCAAGTGCTTTGTAGCCTCCAGATAGCCTCAGTATTTTAATGATATAGGTGGTTTGTTTTTTTTCCCAACAAAAGATAAGATTTTCTTGTCTATTTTCCTGTTTGAGGAAAGGGAGAAGAACCAAGGATTGGCCTGTTTCTGTGTTCAGACTTTCCAGTTAGGATTTTTTTCCTAGCAACTTGGCCTGGTGTGAGGAACCTTTTTTCTAAAAACATGGGGGAAAATTTTGCTTGCTCTTAAGTGGCAGTTAAATGGCCTTCCCCAGACCAGCCAGAGAACCCATCTTGGATTGCCCTTGATTCCTGACTTCAGTCTTGTTGCTCTTGACTTTCTTTTCTGCTTCTGTGACTCTTTAATGTATTCAAAATGCACTTATTTTGGAAAAAAAAAAAAAAAATGCTACAAAAAGTTACTTTAATCTCTACTGAAAAGGTTGATGTCTGCAGCTGTGTCACTGGACATGGTGTGCTGTTACACTGCTTCCTGCGTAACTCGGCTGACTTTAAACTGGCCCAGTCCTGCTTTTCTCTGAGAAGCCGCTCTCATTACGTAGAGAAGATACAATAATTCTTATGCTCCCTCCCTCTTTTCACATTGCTTTTAATAGCTTCTTAGAGTTCTTAGCCATGTAAAATAAAAGGTGTGAAGGAGAGAGCAGGTGCTTCTCTGAGAAGTTTTAGTAAAATAATCTGATAGTCTTAGCTTTTTTCTTTCCCCCAAACCCCCCTGCCAAGAAGAACAAAAAAGCAAAATGAGACAAAAGACAGCTCAGGTAAATAGCTTTCCTATTTTAAAAAGGACTGGGAACAAACAGTCCCCTGGGTACTGGAAACAATGCGTATTTGGTTCCTTCACCTTTCTCCTGAACAGAGTCCTTGGCTTTCTGGAAGGAGGGCTGATAAGCTCCCAGTCTTTATTCAGCCACTTACATTAACCAGCCTTGCTGTAATGCAGCTGCTTTGACCTCTCTTCCTCCTGGGGGTTTGATACCTCCACTGCAGCTGTGGAGGTAGGGAGCTAGCCCCTTGTGTGATTGCAGGCCCCCTGCAAGGGTGTCACGGGTACCAGAGGGAGGAATGTGCACCTACCTCATGGCCAAAGCCTTGAGAAGCTGCTTTGAGTAGCTGTGAGAGACTTGAGGAAAGGGTGTAGCCTGCTCTCCTGCTCAATGTCGGGGTGAGGAAGTGAGTTCATTGGCAGAAAGCAGCTTGGTGGCTTATAAACTGGAGGGTTATGTGAGCGAAGCTTTTCTTCCCCGTTTTTGGAGGGTAAGGGATTCGAAAGCCTGGCAGTGACCTACTAGTGGAGGTCTGCCATGGGTGGCTTGTTACTGTTTCAGTGCCTCACCAGAATGCAGAACAGAAACAGGATGTAAATTCCAGGCTATGATTTAAGTAGGTCTTTAGTACAAGAGCTAGACTTCAGCAGAAAGGTTTAAAATACTGGAGCAGGTGCCCAAATGTTTAAGGAACTCTAAAGTTTTAAGACTGTCTGGAACTCAATCCAATATGGGGGAGTGATGACAAACTTATCTCAGGGAAACCACTGCAGACCTCCATCCCACAGCTGTTGACCCTTTGCTTGGTGCTCACAGTGCGTGTGATGGAGGTGGGGCTTTGGAGCTGGCTGCTCACTGGCATTCCTCAGCAAGAAGTGCTGTATTCTCGTCAGCAAGGCCAAAAGCAGTGGCTCAAAAGATTAGAGTTGCAAAAAGCCTCTCCTACAGGCTTAAGGCAGAGTTTTTAAGTGGAGGAGGCCAGAATCATCTGGAGAACTTCAGATGAGGTCACTTTCTCTTAATATTGGCTGTTCTGCTCTCTCATAAGCAATTTGGGGCAGTAACTAGTGCAAGATTAGTGTTGCCTTCCATACGTAATGCTGTGTAGCAGTGGCTTTTTCCTTGTTTCTCTCCTCACTCTCGT